ACACACACACACACACACACACACACACACACACACACACACACACACACACACACACACACACTCTTATCCTTACTAGGATTGTGTATCAACTTCCATTCATTTCAGTAGCCTAACCCTGACCTAAACTCAATTCATACTTTAGTTCTAAACCTAACCTAGTCCTGAACAGGTCTGTCTGGTAACTTAGACCACCCATCTCAACAAGATTACCTGTCTAAATAAAAGTAAACAAATACACAATATATCTAACCCATCAATGATATTCCACTGCATTAGGACCAGGCTTTTATTTCCCAAAAGGACTACTAAGTGTAACCGGAAATGGTCCTAAAGTGACAAAAACCAGGTAAACACACACAGCAGCAACTGATCATTAAATCATATTGACACAATTACAATTTTTGAATCAAGCAGTTAAGCACTATATCATTAAATATAGTTTAGGAAAATCTAACTGATAAATTTAAGTTGTATTTTGGTTGATTATGTCATTATGCTCATTTTGGTGCATTCGAAAGTAGCAAATCTTTAAAAAAAAAGTCCATACTTAAACTGATTAGAACATGAAGTTACTTTGATCAAAACAAACAGATCCCAGTTTTGTCAAGGCTGCAGGGTCTTAATGTGATAAGATATTTGAGATGGATTCATCAACAAGGCATGCTTGAAATGATGTTCAGGGAAACCTTTTGCACTAAATATAACCACATATATAATATAGATGCATCTGGATAGGTGTGTAAAATACTGCATGAATATATGTATATGGCATGATGTTTCTATTTCAGACAGGATCTGTGTGGTTAGGAATAGCTGAACGTAGCCTCAGGATGATTTAACATACAGGAAGATACAAAGACAAAGAGTAAAGATGTTCTGAAAAATTACAATTCCACGCTCGGCAGCAATTTATTAGAAACCTGTAGCTGTATCTTAATATAAAAAACTCCATTATCATTCCAAGAATAATACCACTCCATCACCATAATCTGTTGAATGAGACAGAAGATGGGTTTTGAATTGTTCTGACCTTTATTTTGTTCCGCATAATACTTTTTTTTCTGAAATGTGTTTACCAACGTCTGCTTTCAATTCTATGATGTTACTTTTACGTAAATGAATTTTTGCTTCTTGTTATTTGCTTGTGTTAACCTGGGAGCCCTGTGCTGATGGAGGATTTGTGGTGAATTAGTCATCCGTCTCCGCGTTTTTGCAGTGGTTGAGTTCAAATTAAACCCGATTTATCAATGTCGGGTGCGGGTTTGAAGTGTTTGTGCAGACAGTTTGATTTGTTGAGCTTGTTCTTGGTCAGCTTTTACTCMAAGATGAAATTATTTTCATGCATTCATTTCTCCATTCCCGCCTGCAACAAAGCAATCAAAGCAGTTCTGTCAGACATGGTCCAACAGGTGACAGAAATGACAAACCAACATTTTCCCAACATCAGAAATTCAATTTGAATCTATTGCCTTCTGAAGAATGCAAGAAGGCAATAATGTTCATTGCCAATGTCAGCAAAATTTCTCCTAAACCCCTGGTCAGTTTTTAATGAAAGTCTCAGTAATTTATAGGGAATGTCTACAACTAATTCAGTTTTGGAGTTAACCCAATTCAAGATGACCACAGCTAAATCGGAATTAAACTTTCTCCAAACTCAAAAGGTTAAAAACAAGTCAGATGGTAACTGTCTATAACTTTCTGCAAAACCCCACTTAAAAAATCAGACTTACCCCTACAATACAGTTATTTATTTTTATTTTAGTAATTTAAAGCCGTGATTTATTTACCAGTAGAGTGCAGATTGAGGGACACAATGAAGCGCACGATGGCCAACACGGTGAGGTTCATGATGCTGGCGATGCCAAAGAAAAAGCCCGCCAGGCCGTAGTAAACGCAGGAAGCATCCCCACCGAGCCAGTGGTGGCTCCAGGCAGAGGCTACGGCCAGCGGGTACATGGTGACAGCCGCTCCCAGGTCCGTCACAGCCAGATTCACACTCAGCAGCTCCGGAGGCTTCATCCTCGCTGATCGTTTGAAAGCCATGATGAGGACCAGCAGGTTTCCAACAATGGAGAGCACAGCTGAGACCGACAGGAAGACGAGAGGCAGAATTAGAATTAGGACGTATCATTAAGATGGTTGTACCAGTAGTGTAAGAAAACGTTCATTTTATGTACTTGACATGTGTGAAGAATTCATTTGTGGCACTTGCCTGAGCCAATTGTGATTCAGTAAATTTTAAACGTATCAACACTGGCCCTAAATTTATTTGGTCATACAYAACTGTCGCTCCTCAGTTTTCCAGAGATTTGCAGGACTTTTGCACAAAGGTGTCAATACAGTGATTGTCAGTGTAAATTTATGTGTTTTCCTCACAATTTTCTGTCTCCAACTGGTAGCTGACAGTCATGGCCCAGTGAGATATCGGCTTTATGTCAGGTTTTATTCTTTTTGCTGTTATCAGACCTTTGTGATGCTGCGTGAACGTTCCTTGTGGACCCACAGACAAGACCGACACGGACTGAATGAACCGGATCACAACTCAAACACAATYCCAGCTTGTGTTCAGAGAGCGTTGATCAGTCATGTGTGTAATGTTTAAAGGGTGAGAGAAAGTTTAAAACAAACACGGTGAAAAGAAATAAATCTATGCTTGTTTGTCTGCAGAGTGCAACACAAAAAACAACAAAACAAAACAAAAACAACAAACAACATATTTTACTACACTAATCTCAAAAATGTCCTTGTTTTTCTGAAAACTATTTTATAATCTTTACATTCTTTCCATCAGTTTTGTTTTACATGGTTATACAGGTGCTGGTCATAAAATTAGAATATCATGAAAAAGTAGATTTATTTCAGTAATTCCATTTAAAAAGTGAAACTTGTATATTATATTCATACATTACATACAAACTCATATATTTCAAATGTTTATTTCATTTAATTTTGATGATTACAAATGACAACAAATGAAAATCTCAAATTCAGCATATCAGAAAATTAGAATATTACTGAAGACCAATAAAAACAAAGGATTTATAGAAATGTTGGCCAACTGAAAAGTATGAACATGAAAAGTATGAGCATGTACAGCACTCAGTATTTAGTTGGGGCTCCTTTGGCCTGTATTACTGCAGCAATGCGGCGTGGCATGGAGTCGATCAGTCTGTGGCACTGCTCAGGTGTTATGATAGCCCAGGTTGCTCTAAGTGCCTTTTAGCTCTTCTGAATTGTTGGGTCTGGTGTATTGCATCTTCTTCTTCACAATACCCCATAAATTTTCTATGGGGTTAAGGTCAGGAGAGTTTGCTGGCCAATWAAGAACAGGGATACCATGGTCCTTCAACCAGGTACTGGTAGCTTTGGCACTGTGTGCAGGTGCCAAGTCCTGTTGGAAAATGAAATCTGCATCTCCAAAAAGTTGGTCAGCAGCAGGAAGCATGAAGTGCTCTAAAACTTCCTGGTATGTGGCTGCGTTGACCCTGGACCTCAGAAAACACAATGGACCAACACCAGCAGATGACATGGCACCCCAAACCATCACTGACTGTGGAAACTTTACACTGGACTTCAAGCAACGTGGATGAAGTGCCTCTCTTCTTTTCCTCCAGACTCTGGGACCTTGATTTCCAAAGGAAATGCAAAATTTACTTTCATCAGAGAACATGACTTTGGACCACTCACCAGCAGTCCAGTCCTGTTTCTCTGTAGCCCAGGCAAGACGCTTCTGACGCTGTCTGTGGTTCAAGAGTGGCTTGACACAAGGAATGCGACAGCAGAAACCCATGTCTTTCATACGTCTGTGTGTGGTGGTTCTTGAAGCACTCACTCCAGCTGCAGTCCACTCYTTGTGAATCTCCCCCACATTTTTGAATGGGTTTTGTTTCACAATCCTCTCCAGGGTGCGGTTATCTCTCTTGCTTGTACATTTTTTTCGACCAMWTCTTTTCCTTCCCTTCGCCTCTCTATTAAWGTGCTTGGACACAGAGCTCTGTGAACAGCCAGCCTCTTTAGCGATGACCTTTTGTGTCTTGCCCTCCTTGTGCAAGGTGTCGATGGTCGTCTTTTGGACAACTGTCAAGTCAGCAGTCTTCCCCATGATTGTGTAGCCTAGACTGAAAGTCCATTTAAAGGCCTTTGCAGGTGGTTTGAGTTAATTAGCTGATTAGAGTGTGGTACCAGGTGCCATCCATTTTGAACCTTTTCACAAGATTCTAATTTTCTGATATGCTGAATTTGAGATTTTCATTTGTTGTCATTTGTAATCATCAAAATTAAACGAAATAAACATTTGAAATATATGAGTTTGTATGTAATGTATGAATATAATATACAAGTTTCACTTTTTAAATGGAATTACTGAAATAAATCTACTTTTTCATGATATTCTAATTTTATGACCAGCACCTGTACAAGTGCAAATTGCAGCAGCAGCTAGCTGTAGCACTTTTGGTACAGCCAGGGGCATCATATAACTTGTGGTGGCAGACATGGGTACCTGATTTTATATTAAGAGCGGAGCAAAGACAGGGATGTCTGAGAGGACCATAGTGATTGAGAAGGGGGGTCTCTGCAGTCACAAGTATGAGGTTCTTGGTGTGTGGGCGGAGTTTAAGAAAGACGTGATTAGTCCAAGTAGGGGTCTCTGTGAATAAATAGGTGTTTCCAAAGGAAGGCGGTTCACAACAGACACACCTGATTGGACAACTTTTTTCAGGGAACACATCTGATTAGCTGAGCACAAAAAGGGCGTTACCCTGACCACACCTGATTTGATGATCGTTGCTTCGGCGTTTCTTTAGCTCATCTTATACCCTAGCATCGGACTTTCACATTTATTTTTTATTACTGGTATTATATGTTTATATGAAGATGCAGACAGTGTCGGACGCAATGTCTTCATTTATTATTTCTGCATTTTTTTATTAAAGGTACCGACCTGATGTCTTCATTATTTCCACTTCTCTTACAGAGCTCCAGCTTGCATTTAAAAAAAAGAGCAACATCAGTCTGTAGTGTTTTTTATTTTTTTGAGACATTTTGAAATAGGGAGAGCTAAATGTTTGGTTTTAATGAAACAATGTGGTTTCATTAAAAAAACAAAAGCAGTTTTGTTTGCTAAATTAACGTGAAATAGTTAAAGACCATATGACAAAAATTAATAATTACATTTAATATATAGGCGCTTGGGCGTTTCATCCGAGTTACACGTTCCCCCAGCTTCATCCAGCTGAATCGTTATGACTTTTTCATACCCCACACAAAATAATCAATCCGTCCAATCATGTCTTTGACAAACTCCTCTCACACACAACATCCTACGTTAGTGACTGCAGAGACCCCATGAAAAACACGTGGGCTGTGGTAACTTGGTGGTTAATGGTTGCTTCAGGAAGGGCATTCGGTGTAAAAACAATCGCCCAATGTTCATGAAAGTTTGCTCGCTGTGGCAACCCCTGACAAAGGGAGCACACAAAAGAAAAAAAATCACAAAATGATCAATGTCTGCGCATATGATGGCATCAAGGTCCAATCATGATGATGTGCTGGGGACACACCAGGGTTACTTATGGCATCATGGTATCGAGAGCCATAAAGTACAACTTCAGGTCAGGTAGTAAATTRGGAAACTGATAGCACAACCAGATGCTGTCTTCTCTGCTGAGACAACACCCTGGTACAATCTTTCAACAACACCACCTACCGTCAAATGACACCTGTGGCTCGTCAGGTCCACACAGTTGAACGTATGTTGGAAAACCAAAACCAACAACAATATCTGTGGCCTGACTTGCTGCAGGAGAGGATATTTTTGTTGTGAACCAGCCACTCGTTTACTTACCCTTTGCAGCATGTAGGACCAAACCAAACCAAAAAATAAATAAATAAATAAATAAAATTAAAAATATAAACTAGGTCCAAATGAACATTAGTTTATTCACTAGTTTTGAGGTAACTGTGATCTGGCAGATGCTGCATGATCAGTACACGAGTGAGACTGGCAGCCTATTATTGCAGTGGTTCCATGTAAATGGGTGATCTTTTGTTTACTCGCCCCAATAAATAAAAAAAAAAACCCAGCATTTCCAGAGACTCCTGTAAACAGGGTCTTAATCTGTTTGATCTGATATCATAGTCATTGCAACGGTCATTTAACCTTTTACCATTTCCCACCACTTCTTCTGTGTGCCTAACACTTTTGTACAGTGAAGGAAAATACAATATAATGGATGATGAATCTATTTTTATTTCTAACTTAAATTCAACCAGATAAATCTAAAAAGACTTGAGTATGAGCTCTGGGCAGGTTCTTCTTTGTTAAAATTGTTTGTCTCTTCTCCAAGAGACTACTAACAGTACTTTCTTTACCCCTGACAATGAGCCATTCTGGTTCAATAGCTTTTATTTTTCTCAAATATTTTGCCATCCCAAAAGTAACTTTGAACCAACCCTGCACCTCTCACAGGATCCTCTGTGGAACTGGAATGAATAAAAGCCCAGTCACACGATTAACTTCCAGGTCACTTAAACTTACATTCAATCTACCCAAACCAAGCGCTCTAACATCTCACTGCATGAGAACAAAAAGGAAAGATAAAAGCACAATGTTACTCTCACTGGGTCTTTTACAGGCATACTTCATTACATTAACGAGTAATACAGAAGTGTAATCCCCAAAACCTTTAAATAAATCAATTTGATAAATTGTACCAACAATAGACAGCCTGTAATCCTGGCAGAAAATACACAACAAAGCACTTTATGACCAACAAACTCATACAATCAGACAGGAAATGTGTATAAAAGACAGTTCAGCTGTGAGTGTTGTTCCTTTACATCCACTGAAGTCTTTAGTATAAGTCAGCTGTATGAATGAAGCCGCTTCCATTATTATTATTTTAGATTTTAGCTGTCTTTTTTCCTATTATTATTGATTTTTTTTGTTTCTCAGAAAAATCACATCTGTTGAACCTGCTACGTGTTAAACTCATTTCAAATTTCTTTTGGTTATTAAGAAACTTAAAGCAACAACAAATGGAAATGATCATCAACACTTGTATAGATTCTTCAGAGCTGCTTCCCTTTCATTTTCTGAAAAAACAACATGAAAGTTTAGTCAAAACTTTTTTTTACTCTTAAAATGCTTCTCTTCATCCACCGTTGTCTGTGAAATCTGTAAATGGCCAAAGCTCCTATCGCCCACCTTCCATTTGTAACCTTCTTTAGTTGTTCTGACAAGGCTTCAGGCAGATAAAATGTGTGAAATAGGAGGACTTCACTGTGTCTGTCATCCCAACTGATAAACATCTCCTGCAGCTTTGTCAAGCGACAGCGCTCCGCTGCAGGGAGGTGGTGTGTACGATTCCCTCTGTGCAGCTGAGAGGTTACTGAAATCAAATTTAGCTGAAGGAGACTTCAATGTAACGCTGCGAGGTAATATTTTCAGGATTAATATAAAACACTGTGTGAGTATGTAAGTACATGTCCACAACCCTGTGAGTGTTTTTAATGCCAACCCACTTCCTGAGGTCCCACAAAAACAAGAACTCATATAAACCAAGTTAGGGTTTATGATAAATTWGACTTTTTGSCAACTTGAAGAAATAATTCAYGGCTTTTGATGTCTTTTGAAGTATTTTGAGTTCTGTGTGGAAAGCTCTTTAAATTACCTCAGTTTTGGATRAAGAAGAATTCAATCAGACAAGCTAATGGCTGGTCCTGGCTTGGTCCAACATGTTAAAGAACATTTTGTGACTGATTTACTGAATTTTAGATATACTCTTATATTTTATATAAAGATCGACAGGTTGTTTAGGGTCGATACCAATTATTTTGACATTAGTCTAACCAAGGCCAGATGCGTGCTCCCATTTTTTTTTTTGTATTTGGGACGATTCTTGAAATCTGTTATTTTCCAGAGCACTTAATTATTTTCATCACAATTTTCTTACAAAGCCCAGAGCTTAAAAAACATTTCTATCTGCAAAATGATTTTAATGTAAAAATGTCAGGAGCTTCATTATAGCTTTCCTTGAATGTTTTTCAAAAGTTTTTTTCCCAGACAATAGAACAATACCACCAAGATTGAGACATTAAGTTTATTCTCTTGAATTACGCTTCAAACCCTGTAACTAAAACTTAACATTAAAAACCTTAAACAGAACAGGAACTACCACTTGTAATAAGCATTTGATCCACAGGTGTACTGTGTTCTGTCTAAATCAAGACAAGCATTTATAATTTGATGGATCTCCTCAAACCATTACAAAGTTTTGTATGGATCACACCAATTTATGTGCAAAAATGTATGAATATTTGTTTTCAGATCGTAAAATTTGTTCTTAAAATGAACTCTCAGAGGAAACCAAAAACCGGGAGCAAGTTTTTACTCCATGTCTGTAAACTTACTTAAAACCAGCAGGTAGCAGCCTGTGCCGATGTCCAGCGCCGGGGACAGAGCTGAGGCGTACAGATCCATTGAAAGAAGTGAACTAAATAAATAAATAAATAAATAAATAAATAAATAAATAAATAAATAAATAAATAAATAAGCAAGCAAGCAGCAGTATGGTTTCAGAGAGAGAGAGCAGAAAGGAACTCCTCATGGAGGGGAGCAAAGTCCAAATGTGCCGCTGCTGCTGCTGCTGCTGCTGCTGCTGCTGCTGCTGCTGCTGCTGCTCTGTCACATCCATCTGAGCTGGAGCAGGGAGCTGAGACCCTGAGGTGTGTTGTCAGGGAGATCATGCGTAAAAACTGCCATCCAATGTTTCCAGCTCCCCCCTCTGCCCCCTGGAGAGAGTGGGGGTAGAACGTTGGTTTAAAGCTTTAGGATAAAATCCTTTCATCAAGGTTCAGAACGTAACGTTTGTTGATGTGGGGGGAAACAAATCAGTGTTAAATTTTCATTTAATTACCAGTAGTTAAGATAGTAAAAGCAAAAACTATGACATGGGAACAGATTGTTGAGAATAACATTATTTGCAATTTCAGCACAATAAAGGATCTGTTTGATCTCAGGGTGCAGGTAGAGGATGACTCTCAGCTACTACCACATCAAACTTCAGCACAGTAGCTTTAAAACTGTACATCCTTGATTATGTTTAACTAATAAAAGCAATCAGTTGTAAAAGTGCAACTAATAATTAGTTTCTAAAAGTTTCATGAAAATCTGTCCTCTGGTTTTTGAGATAATTTGTTGGCACAGAAGACAAACTGAGATGAGGTTGACTGACTGCCAGCCACGAGCCCCCGGCTGTCTGCATCCAAATATTTTCCTCCAAATGAAATAAAATAGATTTGAAAAGAAACAAGTTGTCACAAGCAGYAAACGGTCTAACACTGAGAAGCTGTGCCCCCTGTCATGTTTAACGATGTTTCTTTAAAGTGACAGCTCTGAGGCAAAGACGTCTCTGTGTTTTTAACGTGTTGTTGCCCCCCCGGGCTGCTCACTCCTCATCTTGTACTTGCCTTTTTCACTCCCGTCTCCGCTGGAAGGGTCAAATRAACTGAAGTGAGTCAAACATTAAATAAACCTGATCATAAAACACAAAAGACTAAGAAAAMCTAATAAAAAAAMACMGATTCTGACTGTTGTATGGAGCTTAATTCAATTGCAATGGGGTAATGAGCAATTATTATCTTACCTGTTGTAGATAGTTCTTTGAGCAGAAACATCAGTGTTTTCATCAGAAGAATAGAATAGAATAGAATAGAATAGAATAGAATAGAAACAACCTTTATTGTGCCATGCGGGGAAATTCAGGTGTGGTAGCAGCAGCAGATACATACATCAATCCACAGAAACAGTATATTGCTATGTGACATTATAATTGGAGCAATAATAGTGGAATTAAAGACAGAATTAAAGAATACTGGGAAACTGCAACTGTCATGGTCTGTGTTTTTTGCCTTCATTTTCTAGTATTTGTTCCCCTGTGTTTCTCTTTCCTGCTGTCTTGCCTCCAGCTCCGCCCTCGCTCACCTGTTTCCTCTCGTGCCTCCCCAGGTGTTTCCCATTGTCTCTTAATTTGTTTGCTTTCTATTCTGAGTCTTGTCATCCATGTTTGTGGGATCATTGTTCTGTCTCCCTCGTTTAAGCTGATCTGTGAATACTTCAAGAATTTTTTTTTGAGCTGCCTCGCCAGCCTTTTGTTATATTAAAGCTTTTTTTGTTACTTTTGAACCTCCCCTGCACCCTGGGTTTTTSCTGCTCCGAGTTCTGTCAGCAACCTCATATATGGGCGTTTGGTCTGGCTTTTTCTGCATCCCTTATTAGTGTCTCATTTCATGGGTTGCAGCCCACACGGTTCGTCTCTCCTGCCAATCAAGGCACTAACGACCTATTGTTTGGCTGATAGCCCTCTTTTGCACGTGACCAACCTGTTTGTCCACCATGTGGAGGCAGTGCTTATAAGGCTGAGTTCACCTGAAACTCTCAGACTGAAGAAGTCTCTTGGA